AAGATATATGAAATCGTCTGTGCTGTTCGAGTGGGAGTTAGTCTCCCTCTGCTATTGCTTTTAGCATGGGTAACATGCTGATCTATATGATCATATTGTTAACAAGCACAAACTTCTTGTGGAGCGTAACTTACTCATTCTGGAAACCATATTTGGTGGCGTAATGCAGTTTGGTGAAAAACTTCTCCACTGATAACATCGCATTTGAATAACACTCAGATTTCCATGACCACTTTGTTACTTGCTATGGTTGTCAAACGTGTCTTGTTCCGGTGACCGATACCATTACGAAGAGCTTTCATAAACATAAAAATCTTTGGCAACTTCTTGTTTCATGAATCCATGCAAATCTTCAGAAGAAAACTTTAGTCCCTTGAGGGCAGCCTCCTACATGAACTAGTATAATATTTTCCCTCATAATCTTGATTCTAATCGAGCTTTATGAAGAGTGCATTCATTGGAGCTTACTGATAGATTTTATGGTTGGCGAGAAGAAATCAACTCTAGGTATTCATGAAATAGTTTCATCTCTTGTCAGTAGAAATTGTAATTTTGTTATTTAAATCATACTGAACAATCGGTCTGCACATGACACTATCTGTATTAGCACAGTGCAAAGATCTGTGGCCAACTATTGTTATGCATGTAACATTGTGCTGATGTGTTGTAAAATTGCAAATGTGTTGAACAATTCACAAATTATTAATTTCAGCTTTAATGTTGATATATAATATCACTGAATGAGATAAATGGCATACATAAATATTATAACAAAACGTCGTTTACAGAATGGCAACAATGCGAAGGCACAATGAAAAAAAATCGTTTGAATTTTAAAGAAAACAAAAACAATTCATCATATCATTTCCGAATTGCAACATTACAATAGTCAAGTGTTAAAATACAAGTCTAAAACATTTAAATGACAAAAAGTCTACAACTGAAATAAAAAACACAAAAAGAAAATAGGCAACGGTTTCCAAATGAGAGCCATTCAAGATCTAGTGAAGTGACACATTGTGTCCAAATGAGACATGGAGCATGCATTGTGAGAAGAATAGACAAGCATTGTTCTTAAGTTCACAAAGAATATTTCTGAATGTTTCCGTGATTTTCGTACAATTACATTATTTGTCCTTGTTTAGTGTTGGTCTGTTGAGAGGAAACGGATGGCACCACGATACTTAAGGTATTCTCTTGCCACGAGGTATTCCTAGCTTCTCATTGATTGACCAAGTGATTATTTGGCAATGCCGATAACGACTCGTTCATTTCAACGAACGAACGTTCATAAAACCATAACAAACAATTCATTTCTGATGAAACATCTTGAATGAGGCATTTAATCGAAAGTACTGAACTGATCCAACGAAACTACAACCTAAGAGAATGAACTATTTGTTGTCAAGCTTGTCTTCAACAAAATTACTCAGAATTTTCACTCTTCGTTCCGAATACCGTGAGTTCGGCATGGGTAGTTCAATGTTTTGAAGAAGTGATCATCAAGTTCTATAAAACTATGCAATTGTTTTTGAATTGATTTGGAATGTTTGATGAGGTATTAGATGATTTATGCAATAGTGCATGATGATATGCGCTTAGCTACTCTTAGCGATATGACCTTATCAAAAAGATAACTTCACAAATTTCCTATAATCAGTCTTTGATGTTCCTTTGAAGAGTGTATGTATGCTTGAAGTATGCACGATGTTAAAGTGAAGTGAAGAACGAAAATCGTCAGTACAGACGGATTAATTAGCTTGCAAAGTGACAACGGAACAGATATTAGTCTGAAACGACGAAAAACTTCAGAAACAATGAAACAAGAGGATATCTATTGAGAAATCAATTACATAAGGCATCAAATAATGAACAAAGAAGACCTCAACATAACAGCCTGTAAGGCAACTTATATATCCAACGATTAAGTAAGACTATGGCGAGAAAACGAAATTCAATTGAACAATTAAAAAAAAAACTGAGAACAATCAACATGGCACTACGTCATTATGTGGCACTGAAGGTCGAAGAAATATGTTTGTATTCATCACTGACACATCAGGTGAATTTTTTTTGAAAATATCGAGAGTGGAATGGGACCAACGAAATTTTTGAAAATGCATCATTCGTATCGAACCGGATAATTTTACAGCTCCACTTTAGAACATTTCGGAAAACGATCAGAAACTTTCCATGCAGCTCAAGTGGATTTTACAGATAGAGTCAGTTATGGATGGACGTTATGCCGTCGAATTCTAGCCGGATATGTGCATCCGTTGCTTGAGCTGATCGTGTAGTGAGGAGTAATGGGACTTGCGAATTCAGTGTGACGATATCCAAGGGACCAGCGGCGTTTAGACGTAGAAAATATCGAAAATGCATGAAGACACGATCGAGGTATTCATTCAGCTCCGATTGAGCATGGATTATGCGTAACAGCTAGGCTCGGCAACTGTTTAAGATGAAAACTCAAATTCCAAATCGAGTGCGTTTCAGACAGCAGTAAGGAATGTTCTCTATTATGGTGTTTCGGTGATTTTTGAGTGATGAATGGAAATTGTTGCCGAGCATATCGCACATAATCCATATTTCAGTCGTTACAACAATTCTCAAAACAAACACGAATGAGTTGATTGCAAGAATAAACGAAAAAGCAAACACGAAATAAGTATGGAATATTCGAGAGAATGGAAGAATTCCCAAATGTAACATTCGACGATAACAATTTTATAATAACATATGCAATAAACACTGAAATAAGCAAATAAGAGAGTTGAAAACAGAAAACATCAACGATTAAGCAACACAAGGCACAATAGGGCAGTGAAGCCTGAATTTAAATTCAGTGCAAAAAATATCATTCAAATAAAATCATCATCTTAATCATTATTATCATCAACATCATGAAAACACTGTACAAGTATGGCACGATAGAATTGATGCGTTTTAAATGAGAAACATTCAAAGAATTTTTTAAAAAAATATGAGAGACAAAAAAATTAGCAAATTCCAAGATACCAGTGCGTCTCACAACAAAACAAGCACACCGCCCATGACGTGATGTTCTTTCGTTGCTAACCGAAACTTTCTTCAACTGTCATTCAACTGGCTGAGAGGAGAGAAGGAATCCCATTTTAATCAGTTTCATTCTGGACAGTTTGGATAATTTCGCGTTAATAGTCCTTAAGGGGAATTGATTCGATAAAGATTTAACTTAACTTCAAGAAAAAATGTCTTATGAGGAGAGCAGAAAGAAGACACAAATAGGATCGGTCAATAGTAACTGAAAATGAAACAAATATACTCGCTTGTTTTCGGTGTGATCGAAAAAGACAGACTAACACAAGATCATCAATTTCGTGAACGACCAAACATGGCT